CCTACAAAATAATTGAATTCCTTTGTCAGGTCGTTTTTTGGGTACCGTTTGGGATCCTGCATTATGAAATTCCACTCCTGTTATCCTGTTCTTAAATCCACCTAGAAACGGTTTAGGATAGGTAGGTCTTTCAATTTTCACAAGGACATCTTGGAATGAATCAGAATCTGTTAAAGTAGAAGTCCCAAGATAGAAACATTGTTTCTTTTAGTAACAGGTTGAGATTAGAGCACAATTATATATATTGATACATGTTTAAAAACATCATTTACCTGTTTGCACTCCGACAGTTAGGACATCGGGCATGTGGTAATCCTGTTGAATTGCTTTTTCAGCCAAATGCTCCTGATCGAGACATAACTCCTCAGACTGGATAGTTTCATCAAAGTTAGCCCTAGTCCTCCTAAGAGCTTCATCATCCTCAGTCATGCTTCCTACAAATAAAACCAAAATTAATTCCTAATATGCTTCTCAAAACAAACAGATAAATATCTCAAGTTTACCCTGAGATGATTGTATTGAAACACTGCAACACAGAATAATCATAGATTTTTGAGCTGGAAAGACAGTCTATTTTAAAGTTGAAACAGTATTATCACACACTTTTTAAGAAGATATCCAATGCCATACTATCACCACATTAAAAGCAATCAATACTACAATTTTTAAAAAGTTAAAGTAAATGTTTTATTTGCTATTGCATAATTTTAAATCAAAGTTACCCATTTATAAAGTGAACCCTTATTGATAAATCTCACCTAAACCTGCTCCAATTTAGACCTGATCTAAGCACATCATGGCTCAATCACTGTTGTCTTTCCCACAATACTTGACATGGTGTTTATTCAAAGACTACAGCTGAACTAGATCTACTTAACTCAAAGCTCCAGAAATGACTTCTTTTTTATTTTAGAGCCTATCTGGATGATGGAGTATTTCAGGGACTGCAGGAGAAGGGCATGGATAACAGAAGGGTGGCAGGTAAATTGCAGGGGAGTTTAAGAGACATAAAAGAGTGAGGTGTTTGCTATGGCCTAGTCTGAATTGTTAGTAGTCCATGTAGTCCTGTGTAGTCAAATGTGTGTACAAAACACGTATACATACTTACGCTCATTTCTGGAAATGAAGATCACACTATAAAATACCATATTAGTCTATAAATTGCTACTGCAACTTGAGATAAAAACCACATTCCTCACCTTTTCAAGCATGTTTTATATGACAATTTAAAAAGTCACTTCAAGACCAAAAAGCAGCAAACATGAAGAGAATGAGTGTGGGGGGTGCAAGAAACCATAATCAACTTGAAGAAAAAAAAAATCTCTTTAAAGCCTTAATGTCCAACAGTTTAATAACTTCTTTACCTGTCACTGTCTCACCGTATTTTCTGATAGTACTAAGTTTTGAGATGTTTGTTCTTCCCCTTCTAAATGCCTTAATACAGAGCAGTATTAGCCGAGACCCGCGCACTGCCCAGTCACAGCAGGGGCACACCGCGGTCCAGAGGGCTGCTGCCGCGGTTGGGCTCCCGGGTGGGGCTACCCCGCCCCGCCGCGCCCAGCACCCCC